CTCACAACTCTCCCGCTGGCCAAAAGTGCCCTGAAGGCATTCTCGAGGAAGAAAAAAAAAAAAAACAAACCTTATAAGGGGCTGGAGAGATGGCTCAGTGGTCTAAAGCACCTACTTGAAACAAGCTTGTCAAAGCACAGGGACCGTGGTACGATCCCCCAGCACCACATGCCAGCCAGCCCCGCCCCCTGGTGGGCTGAGCTGGCCACACACACACAATAAATAAATGTAATAAATAAGTAATTTAAAAAAAAAAAGAAAAGAAAAAGAAACTCCTATTTATCCTATAAGACCCCAACCCTAGCCAGGCATTGTGGCATACACCTGATATCCCATCACTCAGGAGGCTGAGGCAGGAGGATCGCTGTGAGTTTAAGGCTGGCCTGGGCTACACAGCCCATTCAAGTCCAGTCTGTAGTACATGTGCAGACCCTGTCTCCAGAATATTAAAAACAAAAAGCCAACCTTGCCTCCTCTTCCCCTCAGAGGACAGGCTCTGAGACCACCATGTCAATCTGCTCCTCCTCCTCTTCCTCCTAAAGCCAGCCCCCAGCAGGAAACAGTCCATCTTCCCAGCACGGCTGCTCTGCCTCCATCCTCACCCCAGTCTCTCAGGCCACATCCACAATCAAATCACATACTACAAACATGGACAACAATCTAAACCTAAACCAGAGCAAGTGCAGCAAAAGGAGGCCTGGCCAGGGCTGCAGAGAACTTCCAGCGAGAGCAGCCCACGCACAGTACAGAGCCTCTGCTCAGACATCCAAGAGACAGGAGGGAGTCCAGGGACATAAAGTAGGAGGCCTCAAGCCTAGCTGGGGCCTTAGGAACACTCATGGTGAGAAGCCCGGCAGACAGCTGCCCAGCCCTCCATGATGCCACACCCATGGCTCACCACCACCCTGGGACTCAGCCTGAGCAGCCTCTGCTTCCAGTAATGAAAGGACACAGCCTCAGCCAGACGAGGCCTGGACTCTGCAGGGCCCAATTGTGCCCATGGAGGCCATCAAAGCTCACAATGGCGTGACTGTCTTTGTGGAGAAACAGTTCTATCCCTCTCGCCCCAGCTTAAAACCACCTGAGCCTTTAAGTCAGGTGATGGGCTGGGGGGATAGCTCGGCAGTCTAAGTGCCTGTGCCTTATTGAAAGTTTTGTGCAAGTTTAAAATGTCCCCATATGGGGCTGGTGAGATGGCTCAGTGGTCTAAAGCACCTACTTAGAACAAGCTTAGCAAAGCACAGGGACCGTGGTGCTGTTCAATCCCCCAGCACCACATGCCAGCCAGCCCCACCCCCTGGTGGGCTGAGCTGGTCACACACACACACACACACACACATAAATAAATAAATAAAATTAAAAATAAAATGTCCACATATTAAGACACTCCTCTTAAAAATGTAGTCTAATTTCCTTTCTTTAAATGTATGCTGTATGTAGTGAGTTGCTTACAATGACTTGAAGAATGCCTGATTCTTCCCTACAAATGTCTAGTACTAATATAGTAGTGATGAGAGTCACAGCTATAGACTGCATGTCTGTGGTGTCCAGCACCAAATTCATAAATGGAACCCATGACATCAGGGGCATAGCATGTAAAGCTGGACCTTTTGGAAGTACTATGATTATATCATGAAGGTAGAGCTCTAACGGGAGTAATGACCTTAGGAAAAGAAGTCTCTCTCTCTCGCTCGCTCTCTCTCCCTCCCTTCTTCCATCTTTCTCCCTTACTCCCCTGCCCTTTCTACTCCCCTTCCTTCTCCTCTCCTCCCCTCTCCTTCTAGATCCTTAGTATTACAAAAAAAAAAAAAAAATTTTTTTGAGGGGAGCAGAACCGGGAATTGAACTCAGGCCCTTGCGTTTGCCAGGCAAGTGCTTATTCTTGTGAGCTATCTCTCTGCCCCCCCCCCAAAAAAAATTAAAATTAAACATTGAGAGTTCAATCCTTGGTACTATATGCCGTGCCAGCTCTGGAACGCCTAGTATGTCACGCTGATCACCAAAACAAGGCATAAAGGGCCTGCACGATAGCTCAGTGGACTAAGTGCCTGCTTAGGCAAGCACAGGGACTGAGTTCCATCCCCGGTACCACATGCTGCGCCAGCTTCACCCCTGGGCATGCTGAGCCAGCAACCAAGTCCTGCCATGGTGGTGCACCCCTATATTCCCAGCACTAGGGAGGCTAAAAACAGGAGAATCACTATGAATCCAAACTGTGTAGTGAGACACTGCACCAAATACATAAATTTAAAAAAGAGCATGGTAGGGCATGCCTGCAGTAACAGAGCTGGGGAAGCTGAGACAGGAGGATCATTATGAGCCTGAGCTGTGCAGCAAGACCCTGTACCAAAAAAGAAAAAAAGATTAAGAAGTCAGATGGCAAATTCTGGAAAATTAAAGCAAATATGCAGCTTGATAAGAGGGGGAGAGAATGAGGGATGGGCTTAGAGCTCGGTAATGGAGCACATGCTTAGCACAAGTGAGCTCTCACCTTGATCCTCAGCATCACAAAAAAGAAAAAGAAAAGAATGCCTGGTTCCATAAAACAACTTGGTGAGAGCAGGGCCTGGGGTTCTGTGGGAAAATCCTAGCAGCAGCTGCTAAAAGCACTCTCACCTTCGCTGTTCTTGGCAAAGTTCAGCTTGATGAGGGATCTGCCATCGAGTTTCTGGAAGACACATAATTACTAATAATGAATAGGGCTTCAGGCGTTGTGGTAGAGCATTCAACTAGCATACACAGTGACCTAGATTCAAACCCCAGTATCACTCACTCATACATACACACACACACACACCCCAAAATAGTAACAACAAATAAGTGATGAGAAGATTGAGGCTGAGAGGACAGCTGAAATAGAATGCAAAGGTTTCTATCTAGTCAACCCTTTGCAGCTATCAACCAGAGTTTACCTGCAATCTATCCCTTTAGTGAGGACCAGGACACAGCTAGGACACAGAGGGGGCAGAGAATGCAAACTGGGTGGCAGTGTCTATGTGATTCCCACATCCTGAAGGCTCCAAGAACCCAGATTTGTAAACACACAAACACGGACCTATTCACAGGAGGGACCACTGGACTACTTGGTGAGACTACAGGATAGGGAGGTGGTTTTATGCTTCTGCAATGTCTGACACTTTATTTTATTTTGGTGCTGGAAACTGAATCTAAAGCCTTTGCATAATAAACACATATTTTACCAAGTCCTTGTCTGAATATTTTTATGGTAAGCACAAATTCTAAAGGACTTTTTTTTTTAAATTTTATTTATTTGTGTGTGTGTGTGTGTGTTGCCAGCTCAGCCCACCAGGGGGCAGGGCTGGCCAGCATGTGGTGCTGGGGGATTGAACCGCGGACCCTGTGCTTTGCTAAGCTTGTTCTAAGTAGATGCTTTAGACCACTGAGCCATCTCACCAGCCCGTAAGCACAAATTCTGAAATTAAAAAGTGAGTGTATTTCTAATGCTAGGGAGGGTATCCAAGGTTTAAAAAATAAAACGTCACAAGATGTGGTGGCCCATGGCTGTAACCCCAGCACTTGGGAGGCTGAGGCAA